GAAATTTCTAGAGTAACGTAGAATAGTAAACAGATGTAAACATGTAAATAATAGGCGCATGTATAAATACATGCGCAGTTCAGCAGCATATAGGGGATTGGAGTTTAGTTTAGAGTCAGTAACGCCTAAGAATAAACAATAAAGTAACGTTTAAGTATAAACTCTTACCTTGTGTTTAGTGTGCCAAAGTAAGACTTGTAACTTGGGCTACGCGACTACAAAAAAGAACCGAGGTTTGCCTAAGGGAATTGGCATTAGAAGTAGGATGGGCTTGCCGAAGAGCCCACGACACTACGTATAAAATTATATAATATACAAAGTGTTATAATGATTATATACACTGTATTTTATTATACATAGTTGTATATTATTACGCATTTTCTATTTACTATTATACGCTACTTCTTCTATATATCCGACTATACTACTATTCACAACACCGCTTTTCGGTGTAACTTCTCCATACTCATAATTTACATTTTCTATATACCATAAAAAAGCATCGAAACATGGATGAACGAATTAAGATAAGCCCTTTCAATTGTTGAAATGTTTAAGAGGATTTTGATCCTCGAGTGAAAATTACTTGATACTGTGCAAGAGAAAACATTAGATTAATTAATGTCTAACATATAATTACGGTAAGGTACGGCGTATAGCTCTCACTATTTCTGTCATCATGGGATTATTCGATTCAGGAGATTTTAAATTGTCGATCTCGCAGTGCCATTCTTTGGCGCTTAAATTTTCGAAAAAAAATTCACTAGAAAATCATGTATAATTTTAGGAACCAATAATTCAGTCACTATATTCATCTCCATTAGATACGATCTTGCTGTCAATTCTGGAAGTTTTTAAAAAATGGAGAGTTTGGTCGAAGATCAATTAGATCTCCATCGAGATCTTGTTCTTTATACAGTAAATAGAAAAAATATCGTTTGTAACATCCGAGTAATCGATAGTGTTTCCTAAAATGTCGGTTATCTGGTAGAATAAAAATAAACTGCATTAAATCTCTTAGTTAAAATAGATTGTTAATTATTATTAAATACTTACTACATCATCTCGAATAATTTTTTCTTGCTATTTTCTTGAGAATTAATATTCAATTCCTTCTCGGTTGTTGTGTACATAGTTTTCAGTTTATTTCTTGTGAGGAAAGTTCAGGAATACTGGCATCGGAATTTGATGCTTCGTTTGTTTCTTCATTATAATCTGGTATAGAAACTCTCACTTCTTGTTTGACGCTAACGGATAGGCAAAATATCAATTGTTATTTTTCTAAAGGAATTAATATGTTAAGAGTCACTAATCTCACCCTTTTTGATGTCTTCTTATCGACCTGCGAATCATATCCACGTTTCTTGCCATGTTGACAGATCTATTCTGGATTACATTTATCTGGTTTGAGGCATTTATGGTTACCTGGAGTTGTTGTTTTTTCTTATTGAAGAAAATAGTATCAATCAGCTTTTCCTTAAAATAAAACATTAATTTCTTCTGAACAACAGCTCTTCATGCATATTAGACTTGCAAACACCTCAATTTTGTCCAACTTCTTCTCTAACAACCGAGTGCTTATTTCAACATTTTCAAATTCGATATTATTCCAAAATAATTTTACATTCTCCCATTGGGCTTGCTGTTGAAATTATTGGGGAAAGAAATTATTATAAGAAGAAAGGCGGGTTATTAGGGGTTGTGAACGAACGCGTCGCTTTTGGCACCAAAAGACGTGTGTTGCCTTTGGCCTTCACACAAACTTAGGATGGAGCCCACCGGAGATAGCCCCATAACTAACCCGACGCGTTGCCAGGTTACTTAGGTGGTTGTTTTGACAGTGCCCAACTCCTTCCCTATCCCCTCGCCACTTTTTCCCTTCTGATTTATTCTTTTCTATGTCTGGCTTAAAACAAAAATATTACCTTGAAAATTCCATCATTGTTATTAAGGACAGAGGCGATCTTTCTCCACTTTTCACCTGCAGTTTCTGCAATGTATGAAACGAACTTTGATATAAGAGTATGCTCGGCCGACTTATTGAACGAGAAGTCATCTTATTTGACGTAATTTCATGATGGAAAGAAGAGTGAAGTTTTCTGGGTCCAAAGCAGTTTCCAGCTCAAATAAAAAATACCAAAAAGCATATAATGCCTTTAAATTATAGTTGCATCATATTGGTCCGCATAGAAATATAAAAAGCAATAGCAAGAAAATTTGCAAAAACAGGATCGATTATTGCGCTGATCAGTTCCAGAAAATGTCATGTAATCATGTTCACTCACAAATTGACCACTTTGATAAGCGAACCTTTATTGATATATGACAGAGAATCGGAATTTAGAGGGAGGAAACATCTCGAGCCCTAATCCATAAAATGAGAGTTCCTTTCCCACTACTAACTATTACGTGTAACTGTTTTACTATTTTAATCAAATCTTTACCAATTGTTCCTATCCCAATATTAAGATCAACCATTACAACATTACACATTTTGTCAAAGAAATAAGAAAGTACATAGAGATTTTCTCGATGAATATCAAAAGCCGACAAAGTCCAAAAACAGAGCGATTCCTGAAACAGCAAGTAATGACATCTATAAGTGAAAATTGGTCTATTAGCATATATATACATGAATGTGGAGAAATGTCATAGCAAACCTTAATCGTTAGAAATTAATATTATTTCGACTGTATAAGTCTTTTTATTTTTCGTGAGTAACATTTATTAAAATTTGTTAAATGTTTTTTCGTTAATTGTTATTATGAGAAGGGTATATAAAAAATCACAGATCCGAATTATTTATAGACTTGGATGGTAAAGGATCAGAAATTGCTAAAACTTTATACACTTTACATATTAATTAGATCAATAATTGTTTGTTCTTGTAACATCTGTTTACCACATTTAAGTATGCTACTTTTATACTTTTTTTATATCAAACAATACACCTCGAACAGTATTATGTATGATAAAGGTCCTCATTACTTTTATTCTCTCTTATTAGTATTTATGCTATTCTACCTAAATTCCTTGATGCCGCTATAAGAAAAGTAATATGCGAGATGCAACATTTTATTCAATTTTTTGTCTAAGACTTATTGTTCGCATTGCTTTTATTATTGGTATTAATCGATGTATAAGAGTGTAAAGGATATTTAAGTCTAAAAAATTGGTTAAACTATTAAAATAAATTTTAATGCTTTAAATAAAAAAATTTTGCTGCTTTAATATCGCATATTGTGATCTATATTTCATATTGCTTTTTAGGCTACATAATTATTGTTCATATAGTAAAGATGTAAAGTTTATAAATATCTAAAATTTATTTAAATTATCATTAACTGTTTAAATAAAGAAGTTTATTATTTAATATATTTTACTATTACATAGTGGTCTATTATGCAGTATGTTAGTGTGTACCTAGCAACTTTTTCTTGGTCCCCTTTAATTCAATCTACATTAACTGTATAGTGTATTATTCCACAAAAAAAAAACCAAGGGATAATAATGTTGCTTGACAACGTAAAAACATAGTCATGAAAACTGGTGAACAACAACAGCAGCAGAATTAACAAGATGCCGGTGCCCATTGCAAACATCATATAAAAGAGAATAAAGAGCTTAAAATCAGTGTGATACTACAGCACACCGTCAACATCGTACTAATAATACCTGACTATACAATTTTCTGAAGATACAAATGTGAATAGTTATTTTATTTATGTCAAATCAACATTATTAACAGCGCAATACAATTTACTCAAGCTACTTCTGCTCTAATAGAAATGTAATATTAATGAAACCTGTGATTCCCTTGATTTTGCAACATCACTTTTCCAGTTAAGATGATGTTCTGAGAATCTTTAGAACAAAATTATTTTATAATTTAGCATTAATCATTGTTTCTACTAGTACTGTATAAAGTTCAATTATGAGTTCGCTAATATGAAAATAGGTGTTTATATCTTTCGTATTCAAGGTTTATTCTATCACCAAATTGGATTATTATTGCCAGAGTCTGACTGCAAATCCTGTTATCTATAAGAATATACCTTGTATACTAACTATATGAGAGCAAATTTTATTCCTAATTTTAACCTTAATCCAGTTATTTTTCAAGCTTTAATAGTTATGTTTAATGAAATAAACCATATATTACTAACTTTCAGTACATTTCTTATCTACCCGATGAAAATATTAAGATTTTTCATACATATCCATACTGATATATAAACTTGACCAAAATACCTACAATGCTCCAATAACTCCTCAGGTAGTATCAATCTGATTGCCTTTCAATATGATTCAGAAGCATAACATTATATTGCATATATTATATCAGAAGCACAACATTATAATGCATACTTGAATGAACCGCTCCTATTCCCTTATGTAAACAAGATGAACTCCCCATCAAATTCCATACAAAGATGTCTCTCTTGACAAAGATAAAAATGATGCAGAATATAAGAGTGACAATACAAACATAACTCAGGATAGGAAATTCTCAAGTGTAATGAAATACTTTGCATACCGGCTACTTATTCTACCAATATACTTTTATGAGTAGAACAGCATTTCCAGAATATACTATCGATATATATGCTAAAATAATCAAACTTTTATTAACAAAATTAAGATAAGATTCAAAATGAACCGTATCAAAGCCTTCAAGATGTGGTTTTACATGACGACAACAATCTAGAAAATTTGATCGAAGGTTAGTACTCCCTTTCACATTCATTAGGCTTGCGAGAAATATCAAGAATGCAATTGTTTTGTTACGTATTATCAGATCTGGTTTATTCATTATTACAACGTGTAGTACAAGCTGGTAAGAAGTTCAAACTCTAATGTTGTCTAAATACAAGCTCAAGATCGATCTAATATAACAAGTAATTTTCAATATATTCTTTGTTTTTCATAGTATGCATTTCTCAGAAGACTCTTCAAAGGTTAAAAAGAGTTTTTTTTGAGCATAAATTTCTTAACATATTATTATATATATCTGTATTATTGAATTTCAACAGCATAATGTTTTACATGAATTTATTTGATTATACTTCATCCAGATAGTAAATTACAAACTCTTGATAATTACGTCAATATTGTTTGCAAAGAGATAATCAATTCAGTAGTTTATTTCAGGAGTCTGAAGTATAGTAAAGAACTATATATTTCTATACATTTTTGATAAATTGTCCGTCTGTCCACCCCTGTATTTAGTGTAATGCAAATATGTCATTTTGTCTATTTTAGATATTTCTCAGACCCCTGTGTTTAGTTATTTTCGCATCACAGATGTCAATTTTACTGACTCTGTTTCCTAAGGTACATAATGAGTAGAATGAAAAAGAAATACTTTTGTCAAGTACTTCCCATTTAAATTATTTTAAAAGATATTCACTTTCCTCCTAAAAAAGTATACGTACTTCGGATCACGGCCATTGCTAAATTATTTAATAATTAATAATCAGAGTGGTATTCTTGCATTTTTCAATTCTCCCAAATCATTGTAATGAATATCTAAACTGGTCAGAGTTGTATTCTTGCGTAGTGCCCGGCTAGTGCTTTATTTTCTCCTAAATTACTGTATTAAAGCTGATATCTAAATTAGTCAGTGTGATATTCTTGTACATTTTATTGCTAATGCTTTTTCTTTCGAATATACTCTATAAATTTAAGTTGGTATGGTATTTTTGCACAGTACTTCATTTAGTGCTTTTCCTCCGAATTCTAAATTATTATAACCGATATATAAATTGGTTAGGGTGATATTCTTGCATAATTACTCAGCTAGTGCTCTTACTGTTTATTTTTCTATACTGCTATTGGAAACATCTAAATTTGCCAGGATAGTATATACAGTATATTAACACCTTTCCTGCCCATAATCTGATTCATTTCTACCCAATCCTCTGATGCTTGTACTGTATTAGCTTTGAACTTATGGTAGTTTTTATTTCTTAGTAGATAAAATTATTTGTGTTATACATTGGCTAATTTATTGTCCGAAGCGTAAGCATAGGACATTTACAGTCAAGTCAAAAACAAAAATTCTTATCTGTCCGCACATGTTCTTGTTCAATCATTTTGTATAACTATTTAAGTTTTTTACGCATTTTTACATGTTTAGTTTTTAGACTTTATTAAACTTTAGACCAGAGTCTTAATATAATGAAATAAAACTCAAAAAAAGTATAAAGTCTAAATATTTCTCAGACTAAGTTGATCTATGACTTGCCACCTGATCGATCTATTATATTTCTATGCTTATACTTCGGACAAATAATTTACTTAACTAATTTAACTAATTTAACTATTAAAAATGTTTATGATTAATTTTATACATTAAATATGAGTAAACATATACTTTGTGATACACTATGTAAGCAGAAATATAAATCAAATAAGAATTCAGAACAAAGTGATTCTTGTCATAATAATGATAAATAAATAAACATGTTAAAAAAGCAAATGAAACTGTGGAGCAATGCAATATTCGATTGGGTAAACAACATGAACAATATCATAGAAAAAAGAAATGTGCATCTTGGAAAGTGTTGATGAACAACAAAATAAATTCCAATTTCCAAAGTCAGATAAAAATCTTTTATAATAATTTTATATTAAGATCAATAGCATTACAAATAAACTTTGTTCCATATGTAATAAACAATTTCCATCAACCAATCCTGTATTTGTAATCTGTTATCAATGCTATATTGACAAAAATCCATTAAAGAAATTTTCTACTGCGAATAATATGAATCCAGGTGAAGTACTGGATAAATTAATGGCTTTAACTGAGATAAAAAAATACTAATCACTTGGATATTTCCAATTGTTTCAGTTTATTGTCTTTAAAGAGATCAATACGCATACTTTAATAATATTATCAACTTTTCATAAGATATATCAAAATTTGTAACACATCTCTCTTGAAATTCTTTGTCATTTGCTATTTTTATTTTATGTTATCAGTCTTTAAATGGTTTGACTTTTAGAAATTTTAATATTTATTAGTTTAGGATTACTTGTGCTCTTTATTGG